AAATATTTTTAATTTTTAAATATAATATAATAGTGATAATATATATATATATATATAATTATAGATATATTGTTATAATTTCTTTAATTAGTTGTAAATTAATTGTCAATCAATTAATAATCAATTGATATATATAATATATAACTTGTAGAAATATACTATATAATTTTTTAATCAATTATGTTAATTAATAATCAATTAATAATTAGTAAATATATATATAACTTATCAAAATATATTACTAGTATTATAATTTCTTTAATTAATTGTAAATTAATTATCAATCAATTGATAATCAATTAATATATATATATATAATTTGTAGAAATATACTATAGTGTAGTATAGTCTATATAATTCTTTAATCAATTATAAATCAATTGATAATTAATTAATATATATACATACATATAACTTATAAAAAATATATTATAATTTTTCAATTAATTGTCAATCAATTGATAATTAATTGAATATTAGTTTTTCACAGCTGTCACACTTTGTCATTGTATTTTAAACTAGTGAGGTCAGATAGATGCACGGGCCGCGCTAGTAAGATCTGATTATATAATGAGGTCAGATGACTTACTTAGTGAGATTAACTCTTCTGCTTTCTGTTTTATTAAGTTCTCTAGTTAGATCTTCTAGAAGATTCTAGATCATCACTGCCAGAATTTGATATTAAGATGATTGAACAAAAATTTTGAGATCTGCTAAATATAGAACTTTCATTATTCAGAAAACATCTACAGATCTACAGACACATTAAGCATATAATAATTGAAGATCAGAATGAAAATAAACAATACTTAATAGATTTTCAAAGATCAAGATACTTTTGAAATGAGATCTCAAAGCTAATAGAGTAAATCAAAGTTAAGACAGTGATAAAAGCTGAAGTGTGAAAGAACTCTGAAAATAAAAGAAAATAAAAGAACATTTTTATAGAAATGAGAAATAGTGTACAGTCAGTCAGATGATGTCATGATTCACAGATTATATATCATACTTTTCAGAATTATGAGCAGCTTCATCACCTGAGTGATTTTCAGCACAAGCTACTGAGTCTGAAGCAGCGCCTCTGTGAGCAGCTCAAAGAAAAGAAAAGAACAGAAAGTAAGACTTGTTTTAACAGAAGTGAATGAAATAAGATAGAAACTACTCAGTCACTGCTAAGACCAGAGCAATCATGAGAAAAAAGTCATTTGAAAAACAGCTTAATTATATTTGTTGAGATGCTATTTAATTCTTATAAACTACATGATTTTGAGAGAAATGCTGAATTTTATCTGAACAGAGATGAGTATTCTTGAATTTTAATGTTCTTTGAATTCTTGATTTTTCATGTTCATTTTCTGCAGATTAACTGTGATGCATTGATTAATAATACTGCAGTGCAGATCAACCTGGCTGAAACTTTATCTCACATATCTTCACTTTTTTATACAGATAGCTTCATACAATTTCTTGTAAGTAATTTTACAATTCATTAGATGCTGACACTAGAACTCTTAGCATGTTTTACAGAGTGAGAACACTGAGAAACCTTACTCATCACAAGTAATCTGTCACACTCTTTATGAATATTGAAAAGTCTGAGAATGTAGTCACTGAAAACTTCTGATAATATGATCTCTCTGTAATTCAGTTGATTGTAATAGAGTATTGTGCACTTGTGCTTTCTGAAAGGCTTTTCATCTTCTACTTTGATACTGAATTTCATGTAGAAAGACATCTCAAGAATCTACCCTTATTAGCTTTGTATCATTTGAATTCATGATTATTTAATATATGTAGCTGTTATCAAGAACATCATTGACTAAAAGACTGTTAAGCAAGAACTGAGCTGCAATAGTAATATCTGATTATCTTAGCTTGTTTCATGCCTTTCTGAAGGAAAATATTGACTCACTCAATGTCTTCACCTGTCACACAAGATACATGCAGTGAATTGACAAAGTGAATGTATTATATCTGTGAAGAAGCTGCTTGAGATAGAAGAGAACATCTGCTATACTGAAGTTACTAACAATCACTAGAACAGTCTTATACTGACTGACAGATTTACTGAGCCTGTGAGAATCACTGATAAAGACAGAGAAGAAAGTGAATTCATTCACAGCTACTCAGGTCTGTAACTTTGCTATAAGACTGTGATAAGTTTGTATGAAGAGTTTCAACATGTTCTGCTTGTCTGAAGATCACAATGTAATCATGAAAGAATGAGTTTGTATTCAGAATGTCAAACTCAAACTCACTGACAGTATTCACAGATTGACATACTAATCAGTCTTCACTTCAAGCAGTTATGAGAGTGTTATGTGAATTTTAATGAGCTTTTCTTCAACTTGAGCATCTTTATCAGAGGGATCATCTTTCTCACATGTAATCAACACTCAGAGAGAGAGTTGCAATGAAAGAACCTGATTACAATATAGAAAAATCAAGAACTGTAGAAGAGTTATCAGCAATAGAATACTCAGCAGTGCATAGATATAGATTCTTGAAAAAATAGAATCAGATGACAGATGATGTCAAGTAGTATAGACAGAGATCACTGTGAGAGTCTGATGAATCTGGAGAAATATCTTATATACAAGTCAGTGAAAGAACAGAAGAGAAAACAATAAAAGAAATATCAATAATACAGCACTCTGTGAACTATCAGTCAATAATTCTCAATAGTTGATAACATCTCTGTACAATAAAGTCAAAGAGATTACTGTGATTATGAAAAGAGAGTTCAGCTCATTGAATCAGAATATGAAGAATAATGTGAAAAGTTAAAAGTACATCTGCTATTCACTCTGCAGTGTGATGAATTCATTAGCAAATCTTTAAAGAAATATCAAGATCATCTGTGAGAAAGCTCAAATGAGTTATGATAAAGATAATTTTCATATTGATAAGTGATAGTGTTTCAGCTTGTTGAGCAGTCTCACTTGCTGATGAAATCTGAAACATGATGAAGAAGATGGTGATGACTTCATACATAATATATAAAAGAACATTAACATATGTTCACAGGTCAAAGAGCTGGTGATGTTTAATGAGACATAAATAGATGAGATGCTTCAAAATCAGCATAGAAATAATGTTGATTCAGCTCTTGAGAGAACATATTATGCAGATTAGAGTGAGAGTTACAAGAATACTACCTGTGACAACAGAATATATAGTGACAGTATTCATGACCTCAAGCCGGTCAATGGTAATGAAAGCAGTAAGAGAAGAGGAAATTGAGAGAGGCGGAGAAGTGAGAAAGACAGAAGAAAACTAGATGTGATTGAGATGAAAGATGTGTTTTAAATATCTGATAGCAGTACCCGCGACTGCGCATAGGAAATCAACTCAAGATGCCAGAAGCTTTACATCAGCTTCCAGATGACTCATTTTGATTGACTTCATTCTACCATGAAATAAAAAACCATATATATATACAGTCTCAACAAAACAGGACAGAGAGAGACCATCTTCAGATATAGTATGATATTAATAATATAAAATCAAAAATGAGCAGATTATTCCTTTCACCTCTATGATAAAAATGTAAAAGAAAAGAAAGTCAAAAATTCAAAAAGTTAAAAAGAAATTCAAGTTCAAAAGTATCTGAAATCAACTTCATGTGATAATTGACTTCAATACAGTGCTACTGTTTATCACCAGCAGTTTGAAGGTGTTGTCACTCATTTTGCATATATTCTGTTCTCTACCTCACATGATCTATGAGCTGAAGCTTTAAAATCATTGAAGACATGTATCATGTATGGAAAATTTGTGCGGAGTCTCAAATATTAGAAAAGTTTTCAGGGTTCTGAATGATTCAGATTTTAAATCATGGCCTGAGCATGCTGAAATAAAAACATTCAAATGATGTTTAACAGAAGTATACTTTTGAAAAGCACTCTTGATAATTGTCACTGCAAAGATATCTATCTTCTTATTTTATGAAGACAATCAGTACTTTACAAGTAGTTTTAACAAACTTGATAATTTAAATAATCATTTTCCATCACTAGATAAAGCTATAGTAAGTGTTATTATAACAGTGAAAAGACACAGTCTGTACACAGAAGAATCATTACACTCTGCTGAAAGATAAATGAAGATAATACAAAAATATCTAAAAGTTGACAGAAATTCATACTTCTAAGCTTATTTAATATCATTATGTGTTACAAAGCTGCTTGCAACCTTGTTTATAGAAGACTATAGATAATCAGTGATAAACTTCTTGATAAGTTTCTGAGAAACAGAGATGAGATTAATTTGCTATGAGTTCTCTTCAGCTTGCTGAGAGATTAGCTTAGTCACAGCTACTCAGCAGATTCTATCATTGATAATCTCTCTTATAAGCTGAACAGTGATGATTTCTCTCAGCAAAATCTGTTTCACTATGATATCAAACTCATGATAAAGACATATCACATCAGAATGAATGTTAACAATGTAGTTGATAACAGTATTGAGTTTTGAGAGAGAATATTTACTGTGATTTTTACTGTACAGAGTGAGTGAGCCTTCAGTATAAGAACATTAAAACAGGTGATATAAGCAACTCACATGACTCTAGTCAGAGTATTTTCACAGATAAGAAGAGTCTTAAGACTCAATACATCTGTCATTTATCAACACTGACTACTCTATCTTTTTTACTCATGAAATTGTCTCTGAAGTGCCTGCTTCATCTGATTATTCATTAAGTCTCACTTATCTGAATATGAGTGTCTCAGCAGATAATCAGTAGAGAGAATTGCAGTATAATACTGATCATAATTCTTCAGTCTTCTGAAATGTATATCACTTCACTTTTCCTGTGTGAGAGACTTGAAGAAAAGATATAATATAATATGTGAGATGCAGAGCTGTAATTTCTGGTCTGAACTTCAGCTTATCAGTGTATTAGTATAGTAAAAGATGTGATAAAACTTCTTCTCAGCTGAGAAATCTGTTAAAATAGAAAGATTGAGAGCATTCTCAGACTAAAAGCTGTTCTTCTATCATATGCAGAAGCTCTGATAGTCAGTCAAGCCATCTCTGATAAGCTCTTCACTAAGTTCTAGAGCCTGTTGAAGATCTGAATCAGAAAGCCTGTAAAGAGCATTCATTGCTAGAGATGAGCTAGTCATTACATCTGATTCCTCAAGTTCAGCAGATTCTGACTGCTTACTCACCTGGCTATACTTTGTCAAAGATTTTTTCATATTGATATATATCATCTTGATAATCTTAGATTGTATTAATCTCAATCTACAATGATTATTCTTCTTTAATATCTGTGTAGCAGGTGAAGAAGAATCAGATGATAGTGTAGAAAGACCTGTAACTAGTTCACTACTACTCACTGATTGTAGATTTTCATTTAAAGAAACTTTCAATGAAGTTGAGAGAAAGTCAGTATCTTCATTGAAATGTGCTTATTCTTCACAGGCCCTGCCTGGCCCTGCAATATTAGAATTGATGAGAGATATAAATAAGATACTTTTGACTTCTGATACAGATATATTTGTATCAATCATGATAGAAGAACTGTGATTTGAATGTGAAGTATTTCTGACTTCTGATATACTTAATAAAGCAGAATCAATCATATCAACAGATAATTCATTCAATGAGATGATGAATCAGAGAAGATGATCATTAATACTTGTGATTAAAGACAGTTGTACTGGTAACTTCTGATCAAAGCAGATGTTTATTCAGAAACCTGAATCATTGTAACTCTGAAATACAAATGAGAGAGAATTTGATTCACTAGTCTTTACTCTGTTCAAAAGTTCTGCAGCCTCTGCTGTTCTGAGTTGTTCAAGAAGCTGTAGTGTATCACATACATATAAGATGACCTGTTCATCAGTCATGTCTACTGTGTCAGAGATTGAGAACTCACTTCTGAATGTGTTACTATTATAGTGAATTTCTCTGCATTTTCTCTATTCTATACAATGCACATAAGTGATGTGATCTGTAATGAAAAATTGTTTGACTCATCTGAAATGTAATCAATAGAATGTTCATGCTGTATGAAAACACAAAAGACCTTTTGCAAGAAATAAGAAGAACTATAAAAAGTAAAAGTTCACAAAGTACTATAGTTGAGTAGATGTGAAGAGTGAAGAATCACAAGATAACAGAGCACATGAGATCACAGAGCAGAGAGAGAAAGAAGAGTGTTAACAGTTTATAATCAAAGAAACTTGTGAAACTTCAATGAAGAATGCTGATGTTGTATGAGCTGTTTTTAAATTTATTCTCTTAGCACAGAGCCTTCTTGAATATTTTCAATGAGTATTACTGTTTTAACTCTGTGATTGAAAGTGTAACCTGGTCACTCTACTTAGACTGACTGTGTGACCGTGTCTGGGATCAGGACCAGATTTTTTGATAGTCTCATTACCAATTCAACTGATTCCATTACATGGTTTTAACATTAGATAGTAGTCTCATACTGTCTCAGTGAGACTTACTGTCTACTCTTGTCACATTTTTCAAATAGAATCATGATTTCCACTTCTCAATTTAAATTATTTTTATTGCTTTAAATGACTTTAAATCTCATTTGAGTGTTACCAAAAAGCGTTACTTTTTAAAAAATTAAAAATAGTCTAAAAAAAACCTTAAAATGTCTAAAAATAGTAACTTTATGCCAAGAATGAGACTAAATGGGATCAAATGAGATCACTTTCTCATTTTTTTCAAGTCATGGTTTCATTTTAAGATCTGATATATAGTCACTTTACATGTTTTTTTAATAGCCAGTCCCAGCGGGATTCACGCCAAGAAATGTATGAGACCAGATCAAATGGGATCAAACATGAAATTCATGGTCCCGGCGGCCAGTCTAACTCTACTACATATCTTAAAAGTATATGAATCATCTAGAAAATTCTCTGAGTTCACTCTGAATTCATATTGAGACAGATTCAGATAGTATTAATTATTCTGTATCATTAATCTTAATTTATCATGTTATGCTACTAAAAGAAACAGAAGCATGTCTGAATTGCACTTTGTAATTATAATGAAGACTATGCTGACAGAAAAGAGAAGCAACTGCTAAATACAGTGACTAGTAAAGAATGTAAGTATGTAAAAGAATTAAAAATGTAGAAGTGAAGAAATTCAGAAATTCAGAAGTTCAAAAGACTTTTTAAAAGTTTTAAAGTTTCAGAAATGAAACTGTCTATCTGAAATAACTGCTGTGAACTCATCAATTGCAGTGACAATCAGCTTCAGCTGTCATCACAGCTAGATTGATTTTATACTTGAACTGTCACATACAGTCATTCTTTTTATGCACAGTTTTCTTATTTCATGTCTATAATACTCTGAGATTATACAGGGGAAAAAATTTGACATGATGACAGATGACTGATGAGAAGAAGTTGATATAGATGAAACCACAGTTTTGAGAAACATGACTGTGATTATATTCTGCTTCTAGGTCTGAGAGAGAAAATACTTTTGAGCTTGCAATGATTATGTTTTATGCACTCTATTTTAAGTATACATCTGCACTTTTTCTACTTCTCTCAAGCTGTATAAATATTATATGCTTTGCTTGCAGGTGAGCAAAGCCTTTCTCACAGATACTCTTCAGTTTGAACATATATCTCTGTATATCTGCATTCTCCTGATCTTCTATTCTCTCTTGATAGTCAATATGAAATGACCACAGCTGACACTTGAAGACAATCAACTGCATTCACTTCAAGACCTGATTGAACTCACTTTCTCAGCAGATTCTACAGCAAATGCTGGAGTTCAGATGTCACATCATAGTTGAAAATGATTATCATCACATCAGGTCAATGTTCAGAGAAGATGTTGACAGAGACAATGTCTCTTTCATAAAATTGTTAAATACACAGATGAAAATGAGGCATAGATTTATATTCTAATTAATATTCACAGTCAATACTTTATCTTGAATACTGATTCAAGTGATACATGGCCATCTTCAGAAGAACAGATTGTACAGCTTCAATTTTAGTCTGAAAGCTTCATTTACAACTGACAATGAGCAGAAGAAGCACTATTCTCATACAGTTCACAAGACATATAAAGATTATCAAGCATCATCTAAAAAGAGGTACAGATGAAGAGAGACTCTCTTCAGAAAGAGTGTAGAGTACAGTGATAAATGCAGTGCTGATGTCTATGTCATCATTTATATAAACAATTGATATCTTACTCTATATACAAATGAAAATCCGTCATCATCAGTGAAGCAAACTGTATGACTCTTGAATTCAGTTTAAGTGCTTTTACTGACCTACAACAGGTGTATTACTACTCTCTCTCAATTTACAAGATATCTGAAAATTATCAACATCAGATTAGATGACAGCCTGTAACTTTTTACAGTTCAGAAAGAAAAGATGCTTATTCTTGAACATACCTAGTTTTAGAACAAATTTAATTCCGTTTTCACTTCTTATAGAATAGTCTTATTATTAGAAAGAGAGAAGTACCTGCTAATAACTTAGAAGAAGCTACTGCTAAAAAGATATAACTGTCAGAAAGAAGTTTAGCAAGAGATGAAATATATAAAAGATTATAAATAAAGAAAATTTCAACAATCTAGAAAACATAGTTTGAAAGTTTCAGAAATGAAGTTATCTGAATGCTCAGAATATAGCTTTTCATAACTCTTCTATATTGCAGAAATAATTTTCATCTCTGCTTCACTGAGTCAGCCTCTGATCTCTTGATCTTACAAGTTTGAGCTGTCTGAGCTCTCATGATGAAGGTGTAGTGTTGAATGATTTGCAAAGCTGAGTGTTCTTTGTGAGGAGAAAAGAGAAGATGAAGTGATGAAAGTAAAGTGAAAAGAGAGTTGACTTTATATGCCTCAGACTCTCTGATCTATACTAATATTTCTCTCTAGAGATGAATTTGAAGTGATTATGAGAAACTGCACCACTCTTCAGGTTCCAGTTGATGTATAACTAGAGATGATTTACAAAATTTGACTAACTTTCATCAATTATTGAATCACAACAGAAAATTAAATGAGGCGGATCTCATTGAGATTCAGTGTTATAATAAGCAGTGTTGTCATCAGATACAATTACTGATAGAGAAACATGAAGAAGAAAGAAAGAACAAAGTGCATTAGTTCTCACAGATAGAATACCTGATGAACAATCTTTACAAACATAAGAGCCGGGGAGAATGTGCAGAAATCTGTCCCAGTCCGCCTGCTGAGAAGGTAGACTCCGAATTAACATCTCATCAAGTAAAACATCAGAGAGTCTCTCAGATTGATTATTCACATTAAATATTTCATTATAAACATAAAACTGTCATTGAACATAATTATTGAGAGATAGAACAGAGTAAACTAATAGATTAATTCCTCACTCACAAACAATCTTCATAAACATGAAACAAACATGGTAGCTAGAGTAGAAGAAGAATTAGATTAAATCACATATTAGAGAATCTCACTACTTGCCTGTTCATATCAAATAAGACTGAGAAGTGAATTACATACTTCTGAGATCATGATATTCTAATTGTACATGATCTTGAGATACTCTGTGTAATTAAATGCATGAGTGAATTTCTTGTTCAATTTCACAGTCTGCTTCAGATAAGTATAAGACACATAATCTTTACTAACAGTGATAAGTGCATGAGTGATCATAATCAGGTTTCTGATCTGAAGATGAATATACAGTTAGAGATGAGATATGAATGATAAGTGTTTCATTATATATCTCTCAGACACTGAGATTCAAATTCTTCAATTTATACAGCTTATCACTGAACAGCTGTGAGCTTCTCTTATATATACATAACTTTGAAAGGAAACTTCTTCAGACATCTTTCTGAAATTCTCAGCTCAAAGTCTCATACTTCAGCTTATAATGAATTCTACTCAGAATAGCATTGTCAAACTCATTGACATAGTTTATAGTGAGAAACAAAACTCTCTTAAAATATTCAAGTTTATGAAGAAAGACTATCACAGAATAATTATGAACTCTGCTGACAGAGTACTTATGTAAAAAGACATTGACTTTGTTCATAAGAAGTATAGTGTTGAAATGACTAGTGATCTTAAATATATTGAAAACAGAATTCTTTAAGCATCTATCTCTGATTAATTCATCTGCAGATATCTAAAATGTAATATTAATCTTTGACTCTTACTCAGATGAATTAGAGATATACTTTGTAAAGAGAATGCTGTAAGTGCTCTGTCAATATCTCTGCAGTGAAAGTCTTTCTGAGATCTGAATGTTCACTGATATTAAAGTCAGAGTGCTTCATTCACTAAGTCAGAATGCATGCACTTACTATAGAAGTATATTAAGGTCATACTCTTTATCAGTAACAAAGTCATCAAAGAGAATACTAGATATCAAATCTAATTAAGTTCTTATTAGAGCTAAGAGTATGTCTCTTTACTGACTCAGAATCTTGAGATTTTTAAAGAATGCAGATACTTATTTAACTTAATTGAGATTGATAACAGCAAACTTCACTGAAATTAAAGATTAGTGAGAACATCAGTTAAAAGCCAGTTTCACTTACTTCAGATATTCTCATTAAAACAGAACTCTAAAACTGTTGAATAATAAATAAGAAAGTTAACATTCTTCATTTCAGATAAATTCATCTTATTACTTTTCATCTACTCTCTCATCTACTGATTCTGATTGTTAAAAAACACTGAAATGTTAACATGAGTGATACTGTTATTATTTATATAGAAGTCATTTCACTAATTAATCTACAGTCTGATATAGTTCAGATTCATCTGATAAAAGAAGACTGAGTTGATTATAACATGACTATTAATACAGATCTGAATAATTTCTTCTCATACTTTGAAAAAAGTATAACTGCAGTAGTAATGAATGTACTGACTCTTTAAGCTGTAAAATTTTCAACTGAAGTCAATGATAGATATTATAATATCTGATTTATTAAGATGATAATTAAGAGAGAAGATCTTGAGAGTGTGAATAAGTCTGAGTCTGTGAAACCTGACAATCTTCAGCTGAGTATCAACTTCACTGAATATCTCACTGTTAAAGTTCAGATAGTGATAATTTAAACTAAAGTATTTAATTCTGTTCATTTTCATTTTCTCTTCTTCAGCATTGAATATAATACATTGCAGCTTGTCAGTTCTCAGACAGATACTATATACAAAGATCTCTGGCTTGAAAATAGTTCAGAGCAGGTTGTATATAATCTCTTTCTTTTTCAGAAGTGATGAAAGGCTCTGAGTTGTGAAGACATAAGTTTTCTTAATATACTCAATGAGCAGATTCACATGCTTTGAATATGAGTCTGCATGATTTCATCTTTTCTTGATAATGTACTTTTCAAGATTGAGAAGAAAGTTGTATAGAAAGTTCTGCTCAATCTGATACTGAGTTAATGATTACTTCAATGAAATTGAGTAGAAGGGTGAAATAATACTGAAGACTTATCCTCACACAAGCTGATAGCTCTGACATTTTTCACAATTTCTCGCAGCACATCAAGCAACGCCTCTGACTTAATATCAACAAAGGCCTTAGTTTCCTTGGTCATCCTGTCTGATATGCTGTTAGTAATCAAGTGTGAGAGTTGAGAATATATTTCTTACCAAGCTGGTTCCGGACAACAAATATATACTGGTCAAGATCATCGATTGTCTTGTCCTCTCTCATGGAGTCCACAATCTTATACTTGGACTTGTCCTTGTCCCACCTAGCTGCCAGTGAGCATAAAAGGAATGAAGACACTGAATGATGGGATGTACACTTCGTGGACCTCCTTATATTCGAGCTTTGATGCTCGAGCTTTCCCCTCGTTGCCTTCTTTGTTCTTGTTTGCCTCCAGTTTGGTAGAATCTGATGACTGCTTGGCTTGACGAAGAACATCCATGAAAAGTTCTCGCAGCTGTTCCATAGTAACGGGCTGCGGAGGGTTTGCGTGGCTACAGCTACCTGGAGGTGTTTGGGGGTGAAGGGGTGAAGAGGGAGGAGCTTTGATGCCGTTAGACTTTGTGGTTTTGGACATTGTAGCGAAAACGTGTAATGGCTCGCGGGGATTGGAATAGGGAAATAGTTTTGCTCAGTTTTCTTGATTGCCTCAGGATTTCAGAGGGAATCGTGCCTCCTTATATGCCATTCTGTCAACACTCCTGGCACCTATTCTTTCGTCGTCTTCCCCTTCCGCTGGACCATGTGGACACGGGAGGAGATGGCCGTTGCTCTCCCATTTTAGGGATGCATGAAACTGTACCGCAGGACACATGGTCTCAACCTTGTCAACGCGATGTCGATCCGAGAGGCTGTCAGAGAAAGCCTGCCGTATTCTGCTCTGCGTAGCGAATCCACACCCATTTAGACCCCTGGTTTGGACACAAAGCATGCAGGCTCATCATCATGAGCTCCACGGCTCACTATGCATGAAATTAGACCATCAATTGAGAAAAGACGTTGTCATTGCCATGTAAGGCGCCGAAAGCTATGACAACAGATTGAAGCTGTGCCGCACCCCATTGGCGAACAGTCGGCCAGAAAGGTTGACTTGTAAAGGCAGTGTCCATGTTGGCGAAAGCGGTATTGTTCCCGATACCACAGAATCCTTTAAATATAGTTTAAATTTTTTGTCAATATTTCAACACTTTTTCAGTAATATTTTGATGACTCTGATTTGAAAATTTTGCTGATGTAGTCTAAATTTGTATTAAAAATATTTCCGATGGACACCCCAGCCTTCGCAAGGTGGCAGCTTCTCTTATTTGATTTGTTTCCTTGCCTTTAACACCATTGCGATGTTGAATCGCATTCAACACATCACTCGGCGGATCGAGCGCACTCTGCATAGCAACAAGGACAAGTAGGCTGTTTAGTTGCCAAATCATGCTGTAAGCAGGTCCGGAAGAACACTGCTACTTCTGAGTATTGTTCATTATCTATATGCTGATATTTTTGTGTATTTTCAACTCTTTTTATTTGACATAAATATGACAAATATCGGCATGAGAGGCTAGCAGCTGCCGCATCTGGTCACTTGACAGCCCAGGTGCGGGGAATTTCCATGCGTTAACATTTCTCGCCTACCACACTCGGCCTCTTTTTTGACTCATTTTCAGCTTCTTTTCGACCCTTTCTTGACGCATTATCCAACTCACACCGACTAATATATGGCTCCTTTGTCGATTGATGGTGCTATCTCCTCTCTTGCCAATGCGTCGAGAAAAATTCAACGTCGCAACAGTGTCAAAATCCCTGAAGCAAAGCGAATTGAGGAGGCTCTTGACCTATTATGAAGTGGGAAACTCACAGATGGCAAGGGGGCAAAGCGTCGAAAAATTTATCTGGAGTTTCTACAGAAAGTCCTGCAGGTCAACAGCGCTTCCATGATTATCCTCTGTGTTGTTGGGCTTGAATTATCTGTGATTTCCATTGCAAAGAAGGATGTGAGGCTTAACTTGCCGTATGTGATAAAAGATGTGGCTGGACTCGACAATTCTGTCTTGCACCGACTTGCGAATCAGTATTTTAACAGCGACAACTCTGCACCCCATCCACAAATTGAGACAGGCTCTCAAGCTGCGTTGATGGGCTCTCCCGAGTATCATGAACAGAACCCACAGGAGACACATCAAGGTAGGCATATACCTCTCTGCTACTAGATATTCATGAGGGTTGACATAAATGCAGCAGATCCATCTCCTCGAACTGAGCAGCTTTCAATCCAACAAACAGATAGGCGTATGTGAAAGCTCTTCACTCTATTCCGGATGTTGCTAATGATGTCTATATAGAGATTGATTATAGATGTTCTGCAGCACAAGTCAGCGAAATGCCACAGATCGGCGACCTCCTCTTTGTCGCAGTCCAAAACAGTAACCAGTGGATATGGGAGCGGGCGGTAGGAGGAACGGCCAGAAAAACAACAGATTGCTTGAATGTCTTAGTCCCTGAAAACCGAAACCAGGACATCACAATAACCTTGCTCGTGGGTCATGAAAAAGGTCTAGAGTTGATTGAGAGACTTAAACTAGCATCTATGTGAATTTCACAGTTGCGCCTATTACGCGAACTTTAAAACCAGCGGGTACATCACTTGTCCCATTTTCCGCGACGTTATTGTGTTGCCAATATGAAGGGGAGTTCATATCCACTTTTGAATCATAGATAATGATGGATTTTCCCCTTCCTGTGATATTCCTGGAAAAATCCACGGCTTCAAAAAGCTTTACATCTATGTATTCCTCGACCCCAGAAAGTGCTTCACATCCAACCTACACGCAAGCCATATATTCAATTTCAGCTCTGAATACACATTTGCGAATGCCAGATGGTGTTGACGTACCTCCTTAGACATAGCTGATAGCAAAAATTCGCGTTTAATATACATGGTCGAGACCATATATTGAGAAGTTTTTGATAGTTCGATAACATAAAGAGGCAGTTGATAGAGCTCGATTTGTAGATAGATGTTGGCGCGAAATGAGACTAACGTGACTTAGTTTTATTCCAAATAAAAGGGGGTGGCAATCCGTACCTCTTAAAAGAACCGCTTAATAGAAGCAAAAACTTCTGAGGAGAGCTGAACAGGTTTGCTGAGATTTGGATGAGGGCTCACTGGAAGGTCTCCAAATTATATGGTCAGAGGCTGAGATGGCTACCATTCAGAGAAGCCAGAATACTGGATGGCTTCTGTTTCCTCAGAATAGAAGGGGAATGGAAAGCATTCGGCCTAATGACGAAATGTCGGAATCTAAGATTTTCCATCCTGTGAACCTCAAACCGTCGTCGGGCAGCAAGGCCTTTCACGGGCCACATTGACGGTGGTAGGTGCGTACCACAGCCCAATTTCAGTTAAGGGAAGCATTCTGGTTAGCTCGTGACCACACCTACGTTGCTTCGAACATGTTTGAGAAGGCTGAGTGCATAATGACCGAACCCCCTCAACAGAGGCAGTATAACCGCAACGACAGAATACCGTCAAATTATCGCCTAATTTTATTACAGAAAGGATCAAAAAAATATCGAAAAATTTCATTCCAAGCTGCTGGGGAGAATCTATTGAACTTGGCCGGCCTCTGCTTCCGGCCAAGCTTTCACCTTTGATAACTGAGTATCTTTTTACTGAGGCCCTAGTTCAAAATCCCCTCAGCCGATTCCACCACATTTCAAGGTGCAACAAGATACGAGCGCAACAAAATTCCGATGCACTCCATCCAGCCCGAGGGGGATCTGTATTCCCACTCCCATTGTCCCTTTTGAGACACAGCATGCTGCCTGCTCTCATGATTGAAGATCCTAGGCCTCTCCGAAAGGCAGCAATGCGTGAGTCGGAACTGAATGAATCTTACCTTTCTGCATAATTTAGTTTGTCTGGGTAGTTTGGGCATTAGTAGGGACATACTGGCATAATCGTCAGCAGAGGAACAGGACCTGTCTATTCCTATTCCAGCCGCACGAAATCGCTGGTCGCGCCAGCTCCACAATCCACTTTCGGATCCCTCTAGCAGCGCGTGCTACCATTGGCGACTCTTGTGAGCTTGCTATGGTTGCAAGTGAAGCGGTGGCAACGCCGAAATTTGAGCGTTCACAGAAATTACCAGGACAAGGGGGGGTGAATAGGGGATCATTTATTGACTGACTGACACTTTTGGGAAGGGTAACCCCAGGTGGCAGTGCTAATTTTAGTTTGCCAAGACACTAGCGCTTCTCTCCCGAATCGGCCGCTTGTACACGATATCACGTGCTACAGTAGCACTCATCCAGGACTGCCCAACAACAATCATTTCTGGATAAGCTTGTGAAATAATTCTGCGATCCTCGCGGCACTCGATTATAAGAACTTCTGCTCCTACTGTCCTCGGTGCATACTGCACTATAGAGAAACCAAAAAGTTGTGATTCATTGCTATATGCCTTGTTCAGCGACCTTCAGCCCATCTCACAAGCGTCAGCATCCTTTATCACTTTGCAACACTTTGTGATATCAGCTGAAAAGACAGAAGCTCAGTGAGTCAGCATCAGTGTATTGAGATAACCTGTCAAAGATTTGATTAACCAAAGAAGTACTAAAAGAGCTGAACCGAAGAAACAGTCACCTGAGACCAACCCAGAAACATCATAGGCCTATCACTCAACAATTTCTCACTGAGCTAAACAAGGGCTGTGAACCTGTTCAGTTTGCTCCTGACTTTCTCCATGATTGTGCCCCCAGTTGTTTAAAACAGATAAAGGGGATTTCCAGACTGAGAGAACCTGACCTGTCCAACCTTAGAAATGTATGTAACTACAAATCCACGCACACACATCCGTGCTTACAATTTTAACCCAGTATCCCAAACCCGAAAATTTCCGCGATCAACCGATGAACTCAAACAAATCAAGGTCTTATAGTAGAAAGCAGCGCGCGGAATCTCCTCCATCATCACAAACTGGTGATATCAAAGGCACCACAAGAACCACAAGCACCACAGCCTATAGTCAGAACTTCCAGCAGAACCTAATCAATCATGGAGTCTATCCACCGGAATATAGGTATTCAGACCATTGCAAACCATCAAAACCGAGTAACTGGACAGAGATCAATAAAAGACTAGCACAACCAAGAGCTTCACTTTCACCCTCAAAGCTTTCTGAAGATTGCTTTGAAGGCTTCCGAGAAGCAGACACATATGCATCTAAGGAGAAACCAGTTACAAATTCAGTTGTACCCATTCTTGATGACAATGTTGAAGACCCTAAATGTGTTGGAGGGGATTACCTCTTTGAGAATCTTGCTCCTTTGACTGATGGCATGCTGGCTCAGGCCAAACCAGATCACTTCTACAGCGCGCGTCCTGAACAGCTTGATTGTCAAATCTGCAACGAACTTAGTGACCATATCATTCCATCAACACAGGATGACCTTCCAATGGTACCAAACTTCTTTTTGGAAGCAAAAGGCCCCGATGAATCCTTGGCTGTGGCTACATGGCAGGCTTGTTATGATGGCGCACTAGAAGCTCGGGGTATGCACACTCTCCAGTCATACCAACAAGACAGATCAAGATCAACTTACGACAACAGTGCTTACACTCTTATGTCGATTTATCATGGCGGTACACTGAAGCTGTACACAACTCATCTCACTGAGCCCGAAGGCCCAGGCCATTGCCCTGAGTATATTATGACCCAACTCAATACTTGGGGCATGACTGGGAACTTGGAAACGTTTCAGCAAGGAGCATGCGCATATCGAAATGCTCGGGACTGGGCAAAGGAAAAGAGGGACGAATTTATTAGGACAGCAAATGAAACGCACTCAAAGGCTCAATCTCAGCTTCTTCATTTGACATCTCAGAGCCAGACGGCTTCCGAGGCAGCTCCTACCGTGAACGACTCTGATGTATCGATGTTGTCTGAGTATTCGAATGCGCAATGGAGCTTTGCAGCTACAACTGAAGAAGGGGAAGAAGAGATTCTAAACAGAAATTCCAAGAAGCCGAGAGTTAGTTCCATTGGTCAAGGGGAGGGCTCGTAGTTATCCAGTTGTGTTTTGCAACGGTGTCTAACATATCGGAACTGCCGCCAGTGGTTGCTGCAAGAATGTGATAAGTGTGACCTGATGATGAAAACGAATCGCCGTCGATTGAGATATCAAGGGAAATGTGCCAAGATCTGATTGAACATGCTATGGAAAGCGAACAGCAGCGGATTGGTCTCTTAAGTAGATGGCAAGGAGAAGTGAGCGGCATACAAATTCACGAGGAGTGTCTATGACATATGGATGCCAACTCATCTAAAAAGAATCTGCTCAGCGATTGATCAGATTCCCCCTAACATGGAGTTTGATATATCGCAATCTGAACTTGACTTCTCCCAACAATCCAACACTGAATCGGTACCCCTGGAAGAGGACAACAGTCAGTCAAGCCAGCTAGGCTATAATGACTCAGCAGGTGTTACCCCTACCAGCTCTTTCACTGAGCAAACGCAAGTATTCAAAAAGCCGAGGAAGAAACATTTGGCCGAATAAGACTTCTGTTGAAGACTGTCCCTATCGAAGAGCCTCTTGCTGAAGAGTGTCCCGTCGAAGACAATATATGCCAATGCCTTATGGCAAGATTGTCCATCGATGCCAACACGTAATGGGCTGCTGGACGACAGGGCTTCAGATTTCTGTTGGCAAAATATTACAAATATTATATAATTTATTGTGTTTTGAAATCTGTCTAGATACAATTCAACCGCATCAGTAAATTTGTTGAATATCTGTTCCAGAAGGAACGTTTGTCGCGATTAAGTTAGAACGAGGATGCACGTGATCCATGGTAGCGCGCCCAGGCATACAAAAATAGGAGCCATGCAGTTACTAATCACCTTTGGCGATTGTCATTGGTTTGGGCAAACTGAAAGCCTCGCGATTTCCCCACGCGTCCTATGAAATATTAATAACCTGCCACTGAACGAAAAGAAAATGACCTGTACCTTGTGAAGACTGAATAAAGCGTACATCTTGATGAAGCAATGAACATAACCGAAGAGGGCCGAGACTGGGAATAAGAGGCAATCTAATGATTGCCGGCGATAGTGGCCAGAAAGCTTGATGAACTTGGTGAAAATCATCCAAATAAGAAGCACTCCCAACCACCAAGTGTGTAATGTTGGATTCGACATGATCATTGTGTGACATAACCAGATTAGGCAGGTGTCAGTTAAGAGAGCTAATTGCGATATGATTGTGAGAAACACTGCATAAGTGCTCCATGGATGCCTCCTGGGATAAAAGTCAGCTTTTGAAGATCTACGAAGGGAGAGGGAAGAGTCTCACCATCAGACAGCCCGGTCAATAAACAAGCTGCACAGATTACTTCACCAGTTGCTTCTGAACCATCACACACATTGTTTGAGGAACTTCGAGCTCTCCTCTAGTGTCGTGAGAACCTCGGCATCGGGATGGGATTGAAAGTAGGTTTTGATTCTGTGAGTGACCATCCAGCACATCAGGAAGTTGTCGTCATCCGCGTTGAGCGATTTGCCAAACCAGGTCTCATTGACAAAAGTTTCCATGCAGGATTGGAGGATCTCCGTGCGATAGGCAACCGTTCAGCCGGAGAGGCAGGGAACACCTCCATCCATATATGTGGTCGTGGTACAGTCGAAGTTTCTTCGCTCTAGATACAATGCGCCCAGGAACCACCAGATGTACTGGAAGGAGATCCTTGGATTGTTAGGTGTCTGCACACGCTGACATGTGGCCACACCCCCCATGCAAGGATCCTCGAACGGAGCAAGAATCCATGGCACAAGGCATGGAGGCCAAAGAACGTCGCCATCTGCGAGGATAACAATATCTGTGTGAACTCTCTCGACTGCAATTGCAATCTGATGACTTTTCTTTGGTCTGGAAACACTTACCACTTCCACTTTAGATCTGTGATTCTGCACTGACGTTGCTATAATCTCGGCTTTCTCTCGATTTTCATCAATGGTTGACAGTATGATTCAATGAGGTGCATTCTTCAGGATTGACTCCAGAGTATTAACCAACTGTTCTCCCGAGCCTTCTAGGGTAGGTATGATAACTGTAATGTTGTTGGCAGTGAAAGACGGGTGATGATCCGGTGGACGCATTGGTTTATACCGGGCAAATGCGATCAGATTTCCGACAAGACGAATGTATCAATAGGCACTTTGACATCCATTAGCGAGAGTGACCGTCAAGGATGTAGGGAAGCAGAACAAACAACAGCAGGCAAAATTTCACCGCTGGAGAATAACTCCGGGTGTCCGAATCCATGAGAGAGAAGAGATGGAAGACTTTCCATGAAGGAATCAGAGCAGAGGTCAGTCAGAAAAGCAGACCCAAAGGCATATCTTTATACTTCGCTGCCCTATAAGATTTCCCAATCACATCTCCGGTACAGCTTGCGCAGGATCAATAATGCCATTATATAATGAACACTACCGACTAGGGATATGAGAGATTATATTGGGCTCCTAGGACAGAAAAATGTTATGCATGCAATTCAATCCATGCCCCAGAATTTCGCATGCCGGCTAGTGTTGTGTCCGATGTATGTGCAGTAGCGCGGGGCATCTGTGGCCCCGAGAGGTTGGAGATGGCATACAATACATCTAGAACAAGCCAGCTCTATTTCCTGGATGTTCAAATTGATCTAAGGCCTAGTTCCACTGGCCTTGAAGGAAAGTAGGACTTCTTATCCGGGGGTCGCGATGCTATGCTAATGGTCTATAGTGCGCCCTCTGCGATTTCTGCAAAGAACTAGAAGGGAATTGATAGGTTCAAATATGCATTCTTCTCTACTCTTTCGCCTTCGGCTTTTGCCCGTATATCACATATAATTCGCGGTATATGTGAAGTTCCTCTCTTTTCAGATCATTTCTCACTTGCACCAGATATACTTGCAACTCATCCATTGACCATTGAAGGCCCCGAGTGAAAACCTGAAGTGAAAATGCTTCTAGTCCTTTCAGGATATCCTGACAAGCAAAACTGCCCAACAGCTTCAATTTATTGCATTCTGGCCATGGCCCTATTGGAATCTGCTTCACTTTAGCAATGAGTCTTCATCAAGTGTACGAAGCTTGACATACCTTGAATCTTTGAATTTGGATATTGACAAAGCCAGCTTCTCCCATCCCCTGTGTGCAGAGAGTTGCTCTGCAGAAAGGCTTCAACAGCTTATTTCGGCCCTCTATGATATGCTCTTGCCATTCAAGTGCGTGTACAGCTTTTTTATGCGTCTCATCATCTGAGAAGAAGCCATGCTCAAGTGATTTGAGTTCAAAGTATCCACCCGGTTTTAAATGCCTGAAAGTTCCTCTGCACAGTTCTTTGCAGTTGAAGATTGAACCATCCAACTCACACCCATGGATGAGATCAAATTCGTATGACAATTCCCATTTCTCAAAATTATCAATCTCAAAAATGCAATTTGATGGAACACTGGAATAAATCATAAGCCAGAGGATATATTTTGTAGAGTGGGTAACACTTCTTACAGAGTAGGTTGGATTGGGCTCAAGTCATTTCCTCAAACCACTGTGCTGGGATATTTGCTGCCCGTAATGGTTAGTCACTCAAATAGATACCCATGGACATCGGCTTCTGATTTACGCACTCAGCACATTCAATTGCCCAGATACCTGTTCCCATTCCCATATCAAGAATATGGTGAGGGCTACCACTTATGGAAGCAAGAAATAGTTCACTCAAGGTCTCTTCATATATCCGGTGCATCTGTGTCCTGGTCAGATCTTATGCAATGAGCATCAGGCATAATCATTTACCATGTCCATCCAATCTTTCTCCGGCTCATCATTCAGCTATCAAGAAGTTAATAAACATGATTCTCCACCATAAGGGGAGAGGACTTACCAAAAGGTATTTCCCTTCACAAAATGCATGATATGTTCGGCCATGCTGCTTATTTTAGCTTGTGCGGGCCAAGTCAGTTTTGGGTTCCCTCTTACCAGAGCCCTGAGATTGTTAGCTGGGATAGTCATTTTGGGTATGAAACAAGGTCCTTACAGATAATCAGTGACACTTGGTGTGAGACAAAATAAGCCATCTTCAAATTCAGAGTGGTAGTCGCTGGTACTGCTCATCTCCTCCTCTTCCTCGTCTTCCTCCTCCTCCTCCTCCTCCTCCTCCTCCTCTTCCTCCTCCTCCTCCTCCTCCTCCTCTTCCTCCTCTTCCTCCTCCTCCCCTTCTTCCTCTATATTCTCTATCTCGTTCCCAACTTCGCCCGCCCCCCTTCCCCTCTCTCCCTCCGTCTCTACGCCATGAGAATGGTCCGTGGAAGGTAGTATTTCTCTTGCTGTCCCAGGTCGACTAGGCAATTTGACAGCCATACCGAAGAAAAGGAGAGAGATAAACATAGCTTCCAATGTTGCTGATGTTCGGGGGACGGCTTCCCCCTATATGTATACCTTTGGGGAATTAAGACTATAGACATCGTTTGTCAATGGATAGCGACGACAACAGCGAGCCTATTGAAACTGAGAAAAATAATCTTTAGCGCCTCCATTAACTCAAATTTGGTCACACATCTTGCTGCTAATATTAATAATTCAATCAGTTAGAAAAGGAAGTGTGAAAATTGTACTCGCACATGGAAAGGACATTTGAGCATGTTCTACGTTCAGCCTAGAAAAACAGAAAAAGGGATATAAACGGATCTGTTTTGACATTTCCAAACAGCTCTGGCGAGATATATCATTTAACACTAAATTAATTGGTGTCGATGCATCTGCGGAAGATCCACAACCCGTTTTTCGCTACTGCTAGGCTTAGGACTGTGGGCTTTCTTACTGTCCAACATCACCTTGAGTGATCGATAATTTATAGTAATTGATTTCTTGGTGAGACAGAACGAAAAGGCAAAGGAAAGACATGGTACTGAATAGTATAATCCAGCCGCGAGGCTCACTCCTTTGTTGTGAATTGCTCTTGAGCTCCTCTAACAGCACTAGTAGAGTCATCATGTCTCCATAGATAGTTCTGAATATCCGCCGGGCTATACTGGCGATCGGGAACTCGCTTGGCGAACTCAGCAGCCATTTCTGCAGGATTGGTGTGGCCTTCGTGGATGTACATATGCTGGAAAATCAATTGTATTTGCTCCGTTGACGCCAGTGTAAATTTCACTTCCTTGTCCACACATCCTGGGCGGATAAGGGCCGCATCAAGTTGATCTCGGCAGTTTGTGGTCATGACCAAGACTCTCCCATCAGAGGATGAGACGCCATCAATCGCGTTCAAGAGGCCAGAGAGTGATACTTGGTTGTTTTGCCTCACACTGTCCTCCTGCTGTAGAGCTCGCGTTTCCTTGCAGTTGATTCCAGCACTGTCAATATCTTCAATGAGGAGGATACAACGGCGCGGTAGATGGCTACAGAGCCACTGGAGTTCATCATCGCTCATGTTTTGACCTGTCAGGCTCAATGTGTAAATGTCCAGACTGAATTTACCCGCCAAAGCAAGTGCAAGGCTGGTTTTCCCAGTCCCAGGGGGCCCATTGAATAGGTAACCACAGCGGTACGGCCTTTCTGTTTTCACATACACTGACTGAGCATTCAAGAAACTGCACATGTCATTGCAAACTTCTTCCTTTTGTCCCTCTGGCAGGGAGATACTGTCGAGCGACTGACAACTCATGCTTTTGACAGATTGCCACAGAATCTTAGTCTGACAGGCATGCTTTTCTCCCAGGCTGAAAATTGCAATGTGGGATTTGTTCTTGGAGATGTGGCATGACCTGGCTTCTGCAAGTAATCCTTCAATTGGCTTGCAGAACCAGCCTAAAACTCGCAGGCTGTAGTGCTCCTCAGAGTTGAACTCAAAGCTTCTTTTCATCCACTGAAACTGAAATATTGAACCCCTGAATAGGAATAAACAAATTCTGTTGGGCTGAAATTGATATTCCTGCAATGCTCTGATGGTTTTCCAGTCCCACTCTGTCTTCTCAGGCACGTCCTCTCCACTCCATTCCTCACTTCTAACCCTCTGAGACAGGTACCCGATAACCCAGGATTCTAGAAAGATGGTTAGATGTTCGTGCTCCTCACTACGCGGTTCGATTTCAACCTCCACAGCACAGAATTTCCAGATTCCATCATATACCCAGATACAGACATAAACAAATGCACATCCGACAATCAGGACATCAGACAGAAGGCTCAGGTTGAAAGCTCTGTGAAATGTGTCAATAAATATGAATCCAGGGAATATGGTATTCAAAAGAGAACCAACAAGGCTTGATACTTGGTCCATGATATTTTTGACAAGTATGAAAGCAATGGCAGGTTGGGCAGGGTCGTAGAGGGAAAAAAAGGTCAAATGAAAAACACACTGAGAGATGAAGGGCTGTACCAGGGAACTGAGAAATTATATACAACACTGACACCAATCGCAGCATTCATGTATGTACCTCCACAAGTCCGTCCATAATCCAATCACAAAGCTCATAGTGACGGCAGAACCAACTCTCCAATCATACATGCACTCCCCCCCGAAAGATTGTCTCTTGTTTTCCCACCATAAGATCCGCCCAGGCCACATATTCAGAGCTTCAGATGGGATAGTTATGGAGTGAGTATGTGATTCGGAAAAAGAGAGCGTAACAGTGCAAGGAAAAGTAGTCTTTTCACCAGAGATATGCAGGTGGCCATTACTAAATGAGTACAACCGGATGTATCGCATTACATCCCTGATATAACCAGCCTCAAACGCCATGGCAACCCCCGCCCACGATCTCATAAGATCGGATAGTGAGGCTGGGAGTAACTTGCCAGTGCCTGCACTGACAAAGTAGCTATCTCCACGCTTTAAAAGTTGGAGAACTGGGGTTGAAGCCTGGTTCTGTTAGCGAAAACTACCACATACAGGGGAGGACATGTACCGTTGGCATGATCTCAAAACTAGAGGATTTTACAGGTGCTCCCTGCAAGCTGGCAACAGTGCTCCGCTGAACTGTGTGCTCAACTTTGATTGAATATTTTTTTTTAGTTCGGATGATGATTGTCATGTGCATTTTTCTGCTTCTACGTTAGTGACTTCCTAGCAAAGACAAGTAAAAGAAGGTTGCCAATGTACACTGAGCAGGTTGGTTCAAACTCAGACTGAAAGACTCATATGGCAAAGGAATAATATGTCAACCAACTTTGTATGATAATAGTAAGCACGCCCTTCGCATGGAACGATGGGAGCAAAATTTCTCCTTGCGTGTAAGACAATAATCCGAGTGCGAACCAACATGGATGAGCAGCCCGTATTCAAACAAGGCAACGAGCGAGCGGTAAAGCATCTCTTATAGTCAAAAGCATTGAGGTGCAAAGTTTGGCCTCAATTAGTATCAAGGTAGTGATCCCTTGCATGAGAATAGCACAGACTCAGGTTGGGTTTGTATATCGCACTCGCGCCCCCAGGTGATCAACACAAGTTTCCCCGTGCCCTCAACACAGCCTGATACCCCTGGCTGCACTTTGCATACTCCTGATCTTTTCCGAGGCATCCCATACTGCAATGGCATAGATAGTCTAGGTGATGGTACACCAGCGGCAATCAACCACTGTCCTCATTGAGCGAAGGAAAATCCAAAAAGTCTCATTTTCAGGCTCAATATCACTCTGGCTGGGGGTCTAGGCCATCCTTGCACCCTCGCATGCACGGCGCAGCTTTGGCGAGGAGAAACCGAGAAATCGAGAAGTGTTGGCAATGCTGTAAAGGTCAAAGCAACGATCACGCAATGTCAAGTAGTTGTGAGTCTGGTGGCGCGCTAAAGTTCTACGGTAACTTGCCGCCGCCTTTTTCCTGATCGGAAGCTAACTGAAGGCAGGTTCTCGACAGCCCACTGAAAACAAAGCTCTCAGAACTTGGAGATATTGTCTGCGATTTAGGGGAGAAGGTATGTTGCAGGTCAATTTCTATTTCTTTCTTCCAACTTACATATTCTAGGACATTGGAAAATTTCTGAAGACTATATGCGATTCCCCGGATGACACAACATCATTCTTCAAAGCTGTTACTACAGCAATCCGCCGCCAGAATACACGCAAGCCCACACGACATGAATTCTTTCAAAGTTTCACGTTAAAAAAGCAAGCCTTATCTGATGAACAGGTGTCCTCACTTGCAACTATCACTAAGAATTGGGAGCTTGATGATAACAAGTTAGAAGAGCTCGAAAAGTCGGCAGTGCATTGAATATCGGAACCTGGAACTTTTTTTGACTCAGAAACGACAGAGTGTCCTGGATGGCATGAGCTTCTCGAATTCTGCTTTTACGATTCCCAGCAGATTGAGGACGTTAGTCCTGTACGGCGCGTGGTCAATTCCATCAAAGTTTTCGAATCGATTGAAGAAGAAGTGAGAGCCCAGTGTTCGGAATACAAGAAGAATCACCAAGAGTCGCTTGAACCCCAGGAGCCCACAAAGATACTCTCAAGAGTGTTAAATAGCGCCACGGAGAAGATCTGTTGTCAACTCCCGAAGGAAAAGATCAAAGAGCAACGCTCGAGGCTATATAAGCAATACTCCAGGGGCAAAAAATGGGCTCAAATCAAGCCCGGTTGCATGGTTCTTTCTCTCCAATCCACTTCTGTGAGAAGGTTAGTTATGCTGATAAAAGAGAGCAAATTCTTTCCAACTAAACAGACCACCTTAGGTTCGAATGGAGAAAATGGGCATCGATCAAAATCAGTGCGCTGAATGCATACATCGAACATTTGCACGCCTTCTCTATGCGGGATTCACTATCAATGGCATATATGCGAATTCATGAGGAATATGTCCGCCGCTCATCGCCTCAAAATCGGTCCACGAACTCCTCACAAGCAATTGATGGCTGGAGTGGAAAACAGAAGTGAGCTGTATCCTCCCTGAGATTACCTCCTGGCAAAAAAAGGCGCACACAAGCTTCCAGGGCACATGTTGGACCCTCGTCCAACTCTCCGAGCAATATTGAAAAGAATACCGATGACCATCGAGGGCCATCCAACAGATTTTGAATCAGACCTGTTTTTGAACCAAGCACCTCGACTATTACAGGCTTCAACGATCATCCTGCACAGCAAACGTCCGCCAACCACCTGGGAACCTCGAACCAAATAGAAAACAGACGCAGCACATCCTCAACTTACAGCTGTCCCAGTGGCTCAGGTGCTCGTGAGTGCCACAATGCTTCTTTCTCAAAGCAGGTGTGCAATGGTCGACAACTAAGTCCCATCAGGGAGCTTTCATTTGAAAAGCGAGAGGCGGCCCGAATGCTTCAACAAAAACAACTGCAACCACAGCAACCCATCAATAATAACAACTGAAGTGACAACCACCATTCAGCTTATGACCCTGCCTATTATTCGATGCAATCTGAACCGACCCTAGCGGGTGCACTCATACAGCAATTCCCCCAAGGTTACGGAGAATCCGTCAACCCGTCCGTTGAGGGAGACGTTTACCCAAACCCAGGTTACGGAGAATCCGTCAACCCGTCCGTCGAGAGAGATGTTTACTCAAACCCAGGTTACGGAGAATCTGTCAACCCGTCCGTTGAGGGAGACGTTTACCCAAACCCAGGTTACGGAGAATCCGTCAACCCGTCCGTCGAGGGAGACGTTTACCCAAACCCAGGTTACAGACAATCTGTCAACCCGTCCGTCGAGGGAGATGTTTACCCAAACCCGGGTTACGGAGAATATGTCAACCCATCCGTCAAGGGAGATGTTTACCCGATAATTTTTTTCTAGGAAATAGATTTACAATATCACGTTAATGAAGGATTCATGGTGGAAAATTCGAGTCCTGTAACTAGGCTTGCACAGACAGTTTAATTTATTGTCCCCAGCAGTAGATGCAACCATTTCAGCCATTGCTTATTCTACCTCAGTCCAACCGCCCGTACAACAGCGATTCATTCCAGCTTGCTCTCATTGGACATTGACGCGTCTTCTGGTACTGAGATAATGAGAAAGTCCAACTGAGCATCAACAACTTGATTACTTGTAAACCGAGTATATTTCCCTGGCTCAAAGCGTACGCCATGGATATCAACAGCTCCCAATAGCGGAAAAAAAAGATTGTCAAACCCCGGTCCTTTTAGAATCGTCGTATATCCAGAAATTCTGTAGAGGGTAAATTTGCAGCCCTAGCGCAAATAGTTAGCAACATCGCGAATGAGTCATGGGCCAGAGTGGTATCTACTTTGTCCAGTTTCAACTTGCTTAGCAGCGGATAGACCTTCTGAAATCTTGACATATCAACGCAATGCCACGTGTTTTTTCCCTGGGTGACCATTTCTGCCGCCCGAAACCACTCTGCTAACTCATCCAAATCTCTTTTAGCATCGCTATCAATTGTTGAAAGGAATTCGAATTCCCTTGTATCTTTTGATTCCGTGTCATCTTTATCGGAGGCCATGTTGATGATGATGATGATGCAAGATGGGTGTGGGGAGAACTGTTCGCTCTCTCAAATGAAAATATAAAGAGACTGTCTAATCAAAAACTTATTAATATATGCCTGAAGATGCTAAGCAGAATTATAACTCACATCCGTAACAAGGGATAGATAAGTTTGCGGCGATAGGACTGGAATAAAAAAAGAAAAGAAATAGAGAGAGAAAAGTTTGGCGGGGCATGTGGGACATCTCAAAATGACGCATTTATGCATGATGCAAGAGTAGTAGTTCGTTATGTAATCCAGCTTAATGATCATAGCGGAGAAGTCACACTTGATCGTGGTGCAAACTTCGGCCGGAAAAACAGCTCGGCGTTCAACATCTCTTCTTTTGCTACGACTACTCAGCCATGTCCAATTCCAACCGTTGGGCAGCTAATTCGCTGCCTTTCTTCCTCCAGTTGCTCCTGGGCCGGGGAAAGTATAGAGAACGTCAAAGACAAGGAAATCTCGGCGCTAAATCATGAAATTTCCAGGTCGAAAATGGAAATCCGTATGCTCGGAGTGGTGCATGAAGACCTGCGGCCTGCCAACATGTTATGGAACAATGAACTGGGCCGGATTCTGATCATAGACTTTGATCGGTCCGACATAGACCGGCGCCCGATGAAAAAGCGAGTTGGATCCTCGAAAAGGTCACTTCTTCAGATCAATGGCTGGACTGGACATATCTCCACGACAACAGGGTCAAACGTCCAAAGTAGCGCCTGAATGGGTTAAAGCGTTGAGATATTAGGGCTAGAAGATATATTTATGGTCCAAGCTCCTCATCAGATTCTATAGCACATCCGCTGCGCAACGCACTATCCTTGGAACGCCCAGGATGCGGTCTTCGACTTCACAACCTACCAGGCCCCCACAAACATGACTGTGGCAGACCTGATTAGACAACTATGCCCACAAGACGAAGCAACATTGGAGGGTGTTGTACGCAGGTGTTGCCGGATCACTCTGTCGAACCCATCTGCTTATACCTCATGCGTTAGATAGCTCAATTACCAAATATAAAGACTCTGCTCTCACCCGTTCTATCTTCCAGTGCCAGTCCCTGATTGCTTGTTCTGTTTGTTTTCCCTGCGCTTGATGGTGCTAGCGTCGGCTGCCTCGATCATGAGTCGCCGGTCCCTTTCTGAAATACCGGCAATCGCCTCTTGAGTTTCAATTAGCATCTTCAGGTGTTTTTTCAATTCTTCAGTTTGTTCTGCAGACGGGATCTGCACGGCGATTGGGATATCACCGCTAGAACTGCTGATGAAGGAAGGGACGTTTTCGACAGTATCTTGGTTAGCCGCATAGAAGGAGTATATCGAGCTCAATGTGTCACGGGCTTCTTTAGCTTTATCAGCGTTGCCGCTCATGATGCTGCTGGTAACAAGATGAAAGACTTCGAAATAGATATGTGGTGGGAAAGTCGTGCGGCAAGGAAGAAAGAATTTTAAGATTGAACTGGCACTTCACTGGAGATTTGGGGACTCAACCGCATTTGGTAGTCGGCTGTCGACAGTGGTGGTTATATATACCTTTCCTGTGGATGTAAGCGGCACAAAAGCGTATGAATGTAGGCAGCAGCATGATTCTGCATTTCCGTTTCTGCTCAGTTGCATGAAAGCTGAGTCCCCTGCACCTTGCCTTGCAAATTCACCTTGGCGTCAACGTGGATGGCTATATTATGAATAGAAAATTTGCAAGGATCATGAGTGATCTGTCACATTGGCGCTTTGCATACGGGTCGTACGCAGCTCACCTCCGCTTCATAGATCCCGGATTGTAGAAGCAAAAGGAGAAGGAAAAGAATAAAAATAAATTAAAACTCAAATTAACTTAAAATGATCCCTAATATGGAGTGAATGGCTCGGTGTATTCTTCTTCCATGCCGAGCGAGGGTAACATCCACCAAACCAAGAACAGACACGGCCCATACACCTAGCTGGCGGCTTTTCTGCAAGACTGCAAGCTAGTTATTTGCCCAATCCCCTTGCCGCCTGATTGCTTGGCAATTGTGACTCCGTGGGAACCTGAAAACGAGCCCAACCCGACGTCGCCCTTTCTTGCGCTTTCAGAATACTTCTCTCACCAATTCTGCGGCTTCAACTTGGTTTGTGTCTTGGACCAGTTTTTTCCAACACTCTTTCTTTCCTTTCAAAACTGCCATCAACTCTTACAGTGCGACACTGAACATGGACTGGGACCATCTGGCTGAGGAGTCGTCCCGGAAGTTGTTTGCAAGTTGGCTCAAACTCCTGTCACCCGCCATAGCACTGACACTTGCGGGTCAACACCGCCCTGGCCATCAAGCCATCGAAGCTTCAAGTTTCACCACTGGCGCTTTTAATATATGCTGTACCGTCACATTTGAAGATGAGTTCCGCGTGGTTGTTCGATTTCCTATTCTAGGTCGAAGCCGGTTTCGCACAGAAAAGACTCGGGACGAGGTTTCAGTGATGGATTTTCTCTCAAGACGAACGCGGGTTCCTGTTCCTATTGTTCTTGGTGCAGGTCGCTGGGGATGCGGCCCTTATGTTGTCACAACTTTTATTGAGGGCACCTTGCTGTCCAAACAGCTTAGGGACCCTTCTGTGGGCTTAAGTGACTTGGAAAGAGCCTATCGGGGAATGGCCGACATCATGCTGGAGCTCTCGAAACCCTCCTTCCCAAGCATTGGGGCTCTGGAATGCGAATCAGGGGAATGGCGAGTGACCAAGAGGCCAATGACTTTGAATATGAATGAACTTGTGCGTGTTGGAAACCTTCCTCCGGCTAAATTTACAAAGAAGATTTTTCCAACAGCCGCTGAATACTTTGAGGAACTTGCTACCCAGCAGCTTCTTCATGTACAATATCAGCGCAACGATGCCGTGGAAAATGAACATGATGCTCGAAAGAGGTACATAGCGCGCTGTCTTTTCCGAAAAATAGCACGGGATATTCAATGGGAACCAGGTCCCTTCCACCTATGGTGTGATGACTTTTGTCCATCAAATGTACTCGTCTCTGAGTCTGATCTTACCATTACTGGTGTTATTGACTGGGAATTTACTTATGTTGCACCCACCGAATTTACCTGCACTGCGCCATGGTGGCTCCTGTTGGAAAGGCCAGAAGCCTGGGAGTCAGATCTGAATGACTTTTTGGCCAGATACACACCAAGGCTCCAATTTTTCCTCAAGATCCTTCGGGCTTGTGAGGACAGGCAGTTGCGGAATGGGACCTTGACGGATTCACAGCGCCTATCAGATCGGATGGAACGCTCTCTGAACTGTGGGCTCTTTTGGTTCTGTCTTGCTACAAGAAGGAGCTTCATGTTTGATGATATTTATTGGACATTTCTTGATGAGAAGCACTTTGGTCGTCTGAACTCTCTAGATGACAGACTCTCTCTTCTCTCTCGGGACGAGCTGGATGGGCTGGATGGGTTTGTTCGGATGAAGATGCAGCAAGTTGTAGAAAAGCGCTTGGACGAACATCTGACCTTTGATGAACTTGTTGACCTTTAACTCAAGTGGAGCCCACAAGAGCTTGTTGGAGAGATCTATCTTGAGGGCATAATGTATCTACTGTTTAATTTTGTAAAATTTTTATTCGTAGATGGATAAATGCCATATCAGAGTTGTAGGATTCATACCTTGCCGTGGCTGTCCGCGAGACAAAAATCAAACGCGGAAGTTCTAGTGAATAAGCATCATTTATATTAGCCTGCTCAATGCATACCGTTTAACGTGTCCAATTATTTCTGTAATTAGGTCCACTCCACTTCTTAGACAGCTTACTAAATCAGCTAAATAATCTACTACAAGGATGTTCCCCGATTCACTCAAGATTAAGCAAATTTCCGATTTTGTTGCTCTCCTTCAGAATCCAGCGGGCCCCTTTGGCATCAACTCCCATGTCCTCCTGAACCAACATCTCCAGCAGTTCCGGAACCAAGACCTCCTGGGCATACACAACAGTCCCATACTTCGACGCCACACTATCGATGCCGGCCAGTGAGTCGATAGCATCTTTAAAGTGAGACACGACATGCGCTGAGCTGGGGGGAAGGTCAGTGAAGAGGTTCCTCTGGTGGGTTCGCGGGGTTGGGGTTGGGGTTGGGGGGGTGTTTCTTCACTCACAGAATCTCATGGCCTCTAAGGTCATAGTAGCCGGTACTGTGCAGGATACTCTGGGAGAGGATCTTCCTGCCATGCTTCCGCACTTTCTTGTGCACAACACTCTTATAGCGGGAGCAGTACCCAGAATCATCAAGGATCCGGCGCAGGCGAGGATGGAATTGAGTCAACTGATCATCTAGGTGGTCCCAAGCAATGATGAGATAATGAAGTCAGGATCACTCGCGCCGTGCAGTTTCCTTTCAGTGCTTCTCACAGAACCGCAGCTGCTCGCGGACCCCCATGCAATTGTTGGCGGCATTGAATGCACTGGAAGCCTCCACCTCAATCACAGAATTGCACACTGGGCACATGGCAGTCACTGTTGAGGATGGAGATGGTGTGCAGGGTTTCGCATTCGGCGTGGCCGGATCATCTGCTGGTTGATGTTG